CACTTTTTCTTCTTTCAAGTTTTTATATATATCATCTCATTGCCTTCTTGCCTGCACAGTTTCTGCTGAGTAATCAGAGTTTAGTCTTGCTGTTTCCCCTTTGTAAGTAACTTTTCATTTTTCTTAAGCTGCTCTCAGGATTCTTTCTTTGTCTTTGGTTTTGGCAAGTGTGATTCTGATATGTCTTAGTGACTTTCTTTTGGGATCTGTCCTATATGGGGTTCATTGAGTTTCTTGGATAGACATCTTTTCATCTTTCATATTTGGGAAGTTTTCTGCCAGCAAATCTTAGCAATCTTCTCTGTGTTTTCCATTTTCTCTCCCTGTTCTGGAACTCTGATCACGTACAAATTTTTGCTCTTGATTGTATCCTACGTAATTCTTAGGTTTTCTTCATTTTTCTCCATCTTTTCTCTGATTTTTCCTCAAACAAAATGGTGTCCATGGATTTGTCTTCAATCTTGCTGTTTCTCTTTTGCATTGTTTCAAATTTACTCCTAAAATCTTCTACTGAGTTGTCCATTTCTGCAATTTTGTTGTTTATCTTTTAGATTTCTAGTTGCTGCTTTTCTATGATTTCTAGTCGTTGCTTTTCTATGATTTCTAGTTGTTTATTTATTTTGATGTTTGTTCTTGTATTATTTTCCTGAATTCTTCTATTGCTTTGTCTGTGGTTTCCTTGATTTTAGCTATGTTTTCATTGGTTTTGTCTCTGTTTTCCATGATTTTGTCTATTGTTTCCTTGGTTTTGTCTGTGTTTTCTTTAATCTCTTTCCTAATCTCTTGGAGAGCCCTAAATATTAAGTCTTTTGAATTCCATATCATGTAGTTCCACTGCCTTTTCTTCTACTGGGAAGTCATCTGATTCTTTATTTTGGTCACTTGCTGAAGCCTTATTTCCCTGCTTTTTTTATATGTTTTGATACTGTATTCTGTCTCCAAGATATTAAGGTATTATTTTCTTTTGTTTATTGATTGTATGTTCATTTGTTTTGTCCTGTTTTTTCGTTTTGTTTTGATAAGTCAGGGTGGATGGGCCAGGCATGCTTTGCTGCTTGCTCATCTGTGGGCACGATAGCTCTCACCACCTTATTCAGGAGGGCAGGGTAGCAGCAAATAGGGTGAGCTGCCTTCACTGTACACTGGTTTGGTGATGTGGCTGTGGGAGAACTGGGCGAGTACTGTCTGCCTTCTGATGTTGGTCCAGCAGTGTGGGAGCATTCACAGCCCCTTGCTAGACAGGTGGAGATGTTGGATGGGGAGTAGTACAGGAATGCTTCCCAGTATTCAACAGCTAGTGTGGCAGCACAGCAGGGGCTAGTGGGAAAGGGTGATGACATATGGTGATAGGTAGGGGGAGAATAAAAAAGGGAAGAAAGAGAAAAGAAAAAAGAAAAAGGAAATGGCACTGTGGTGGGGGCCAAACAGTGGGGGTGGGGTTGACCCGAGGGCTGGTGGGAAGCAAGGAAAGGTGATGTACTAGTGTAGGTAGGAGGGAGAAGGAAAACAAAGAAAAGAAAGGGAAAAAAGAAAAGAAAAAAGTTGGCAGCATGGTGGGGGTCAGGGGTAGAGATGGAGAGACTCGGGGCAGTGGCAGGTCAGTGTGCCAACGGCTCTCCAGTCATGGCAGCGTGGCAGGGTGAGGCAGGAAGGATGAGCGGTGGCATGCAGGACTAGGTGGGAGGGAGAAAGAAAAGGAAGAAAGAAAAAATTAAAAAATAGAAAAATAAAACAATGGGCCAGTGGGAAAGGAGGGGAGGTGGCTTATGGGACTATGTGGGAGGGAGAAAGAAAAGGAAGAAGAAGAGAAAATTTAAACTAAATAATAAAATAAATTTAAAAAACTGCTGGCACGGCAGAGGCTGGCAAATGGGGGCAGGCAGACCTGAGAGCCAGTTGGAAGGGAGTGGATGTGATACATGGCACTAGGTGGGAAGGAGGAAGAAGAGAAAGAAAAAAAGCAACAACAATAAGAAAAGGCAGTGCAGTGGGAGCTGGCAGGTGGGGACAGGTGGACCCGGGGCGACAGCAGGCCAGTGGCTCTCTAGCCGAGGTGGTGCAGCATGGCCCAGTGGGAAGGAGTGGAGGTGGTGTACAGGGCTAGGTGGGAAGGAGAAAGAAGAAGAAAGCGGGAAAAAATGCAGTGGGAACCGGCCAATGGCGATGGGGTGGGCCTGGAGTGTCGTCAGGCCAGTGGCTCTCTAGGCAAGCAGTGTGGTGTGGCCTGTCAGAAAGGAGTGGAGATGGTGTACAGGGCTAGGTAGGAGGGAGAAAGAAAAGGAAGATAGGGAGAAAAGAAAAAGAAAAAAAAATGGTGCCAAAGGAGCCAGCAGGTGGGGGTGGGGCAGACCCAGGGTGGCGACTGGCCAGTGGCTCTCTAGCTAAAAGGCACAGCATGGCCCATTGCGAAAAGGTGGGGGCAATGTATGAGGCTAGGTGGAAGGGAGAAAGAAAAAGGAAGGCAGATAAAAAAGACAGCACGGCGGAAGCCAGGCAGTGGGGGCGGGGCACCTGGCTTGTCGGCCCATCAGGAAGGGTTGGAGGTAGTGTATGGGGCAGAAGGGTTAGGAGTGGAAAAGCGTGTATCTCTGGTTACTGGGTACTCTGTCTCCTGCTGGGAGCTCTGTGAAGTTGCCTTCCCATGCCTGGGGTCCTCGCTGGCTGTGTTCCAAGATGGTGATGCTGCGCCGTTAGTTGGCAGGGGACCTCTACATCGTATCTCTGTTCATTCTCTGTTTTCTGTTAGTTTCTTCTTCCATTCACTGTTTGATCTAGTTCTTTACCTCTTCATTTGATGCTCAGGGTTCCAGGATTGATGTTTGTATCTGTTTTTTAGATCTGTCGACATGGATATCTGTCTATAGCGTCATGCTGGCTCCGCCTCTTTATAAATTTTTTGGATGATAATTTTAGATTAGATAGAAATTGTCCCAATAAAAATTTAAAAACAAAATTAAACATAACTCTCAAAGATAAAAGGAAAACGACAAAGGCATTTCTTATATAGATCCACAATAGAGTTAAATTCATGGAACTTCTTGTTATACTGGAAGGAAAAGATGACTCTTAAAAAGTCATCTCTTACTGTTTTTCTTATTTTCTCTATTTTAAAATGTAACAAGAAAATTATTCAATTATGGTTTATTTTCAAAGACTCTGAAAGCTTTTGATGACAATTATCCCTTTATTTGAAAATTTACAAAATGCTGGGCAATAGAATAATGTGGAGTCTATATTTTTAAAAGGTATGCAGAAATGCACCTAGATATTTTGTAAGTTTAACTTGTATAGTTGAGATGTATCAGGGAAAAATATACATAATTAAGTGGTAAGCATGGATAAGAACATTATAATAAGTAGAGTATTCATCTTTTTGGAAAAAAGTCATTGGTAAGGTAGTTTGAAAGAGAGAGAGCTAACCTTAATTTATGTTGCATTAATATGATTTTTGATTCTACTTTATTTGCCAGCCATCCATACGCTTGGAAAATATAGTATAGGTAATATTACTTAAACAGGCTAGTACAATAAGCTAGATAGCATTTTTCAAATTACAGGTAATGACCCATCAGTGGATTGTAAAATCAATTTAGTGGGTCAAGGTCAGTATTAAAAAAAAAAAAAAAAAAAGGAAACCATAGAAATAAAGAGAAAATGTAAGTATTCATGAAAATCTTTTTTTTTTTTTTTTAAGTTGTGTGTAAGTCTGTATGTGTCCAATCTTGAGATGCAAAAATTCTTATTTTAGTATGGGTTTTGGACAGAAATATCTGAAAACTCTGAGTTAAAGGGTCACACTCAGAATGTCATTAATGCATCACTGTCAACCTGAAGTGGAATTCCACAGGGGAGTTCCACAGGGGTTATCCCTGGGTGTGGGGATATTTTAGCATCTTGTCCATGTCCTAGATAATGGAAAGTAGAGCATATTTCAGTTGCTAGTCATGTCCATTAGGGAGGGTGGTAAAACACTAGAAACTTGACACACAACTGGAATTTCACATTGCCTTTCTACGTTGATAAAATGATGACAATGAAAGAGGACCCTGTATTCAAAAGAAAACAATACCGACAAAGCAGGAATAATCCATAAAAATGAATGAATATGACGCATAAGTTTGGATGGATAATAAGCATACTGATTCAGAAAATGTAGCCCTAAGGTTTGTAAGGCACACCAGATAAGGGAAATTTAGGAATGAGTAAAAGAGGTTATAAAACATGAGTGATTTCTTCAAATTACAACTCTAACACAGTGGTTTTTCAAGTAGTGGCTACATATTCAGGATATAAGAGCTACATATTTTTTATTATCTCAAAATAAGGCAGAGTTTCATAGGATTTGCAAATGATATAAACCAAACATTTTAGGGATTTTAAAAGTGATATGTAAGTCATTTATGAACTGATGAAAAACATGGTAAGTATATATAGGTTTTTTACATTTTAACTTTCTCTTCAGAAAATGCACAAGATATTATATTCTGATCTCAATACTAAGTACTATATACAAGTAGCACTCTGGGAATTTTATAAAATTAGTTACTATATTACTTTCAGAGATGATAGAATAATGTGCCCTATATATCACCGAAAGGTTTTAAATAGTCATCTTAATGGAATTCAGTCTCTTATTACATCTGTGCTACTATGGAATGTGATGCTAGATATGAATGATTTACATAGTCGAGATTGCGATCAATTTTGTTATTGCTCTCATGGATGCCTTTTCAAATAAAACAATAATTTCCTTAACTGAAAAAAGATCAGTTGTAGCATAAACCAGTGTATGATTCTTCACTTGAGATTTCGAGGTCAAGTTCTTAATGAAATGTCCTGATAGCTTAATGGAGACTCTTTCAACTATATATCTTTTTCCTCATTTTCTCAGAGGCAAGCTAGAAGAAAATAACATTCATCTGTGGAATCATGCTAACAATGTTATGATTTCACTGCAATCCAGTGCAGTAGGATAATTATCTTGCTTATTCTCTACTTACCTTGCTACGTGATTAATTACAGGAGCGAAGTTGGTTGGTCCATACAGTTGTACAGATTTCAGACTCCTATAATAAGCCTCCATAACCCCCTCAATACCATCACAGTAGGGGTTTTGAGGGTTCCCATTCTGTAGAAAGTTATAAGCAAAAGATAAATTAATAGTGTCTGAAAAATAACTGAAAAAGAGAATAATACATTTTAACCCTTATAGAGATTTTTTTTTAAAAAAGTCATTTATATATCTATAAAAGCAAAAGAAAAATAAAAAATTAAGTGGTCAATAATAGATTACAATATGATACATGACTACAATAGTTTATAATATGATGATGTGCAATAATGTACAATCATTAAAAATGCATATGCTTCAGAAATGGATAAGAGAAAATTCTAAATAATCATAAGAAGCTAAATATCACAATATCCTATAATTAATAATGTCTTAATTTTGCACAGATGTGTATATATGTGAGGTAAACATATAAAATTCCTGAAAAGAAATAAACAAAACATTAATAGTATTTGCCTCTGGGTGGTTAGATAATTAGTGACTTTTACTTAATTATTTAAGCTATTCTGTATATTCCAATTTTTTCAACGATGAACACACATTAAAATCAGAAAAAAAAAAATACTATCTATTCAAATGCTTTTACCCACTAGAAGGAAGAATGTAAAAGGAAAAAAAAAAATTGACATATTCACATTTTCAGACCAAAATTGATAACCCCAACTAGAGATGGGATCAGAAGAAACACAATTTGGTGTAAGAAACATCAAGAGAAGGTAAAAGGAAAAGAATAAAAAAAGAATCATATCCATGCTGTTCAAAGGACATGGAACTTGTCACCAAGGAGCTCTTACTCTACAAATGGCACACAGAAGGACAACTTTAACCTGGAAACCTAGTGTAACTTTTTCATGCCTTGAATTCTCTGTCATTACTAGGTTTAATTCTCCTATTCCAGATTCCAGAAAACACAGGTAAGATAGTTTATTTGTTATCTATTGCTATGTAACAAATTACCCCACTAATTAATGGCTTAAAACAGTAAGAAATTATTATCTCACACATTTTCTGGAGTCAGGAATCCAGGAGCAGCTCAGCGAGGTGGTTCTGGCTCAAGGTTTCTCATGAGGTTACAGTCAAGATGCTGACCTGGGCTTCGGTCATCTGAAGGGTTGGCTAGGGATGGAAGAACTGCTTCCAAGAAGGCTCACTCACATGACTGTTGGAGGTCAACATGGACTCTCCATAGTGTTGCTTGGCAGCTAACTTCACCCAAAGGGAGTAATTCAAAAGAGAGAGCAAGGAGAAAGCTCCAATATCTTTTAAGATCTAGTCTCAGAAGTTACATACCATTAACTCTATGTTAGTCTACTTGTTAGAAGTGAGTCACTAAGTCTAGTCCACATTCAAGCAGAGAGGAATTAGGCTCCACCTCTTGAAGATGGAGTCTCAAAGAATTTATATAAATATATTTTAAAACACTAGAGACAGTAACACACATAAACATCGCAAACATTTTAGCATGTAAGTTTTCACCTGAATAATTACAAGTGACTTTGGTAATTATAACTAATGTTTGTTCAATTCTATATATCAAACTTTATTATAAAATATTTACATTCATTATGTAATTTTTTAATTAACAACTCTAAAAAGTAAGTAAAATAAGATCAAAGAATTGATGCATTTGAATTTGGTGGTGGGGAAGAACAATGAATATACCATAGATTGCCAGAATGAACAAATCTGTCTTGGAAGAAGTACAGCCAGAATGATTCTTAGAAGCAAGGATGGAGAAACCTTGTCTCATGTACTTTGGATATGTTATCAGGAGGGACCAGTTCCTGGAGAAAGACATCATGCTTGGCAAGGTAGAGAGTCAGCAAAAAAGAGGAAGACCCTCAACAAGATAGATTGACACAGTGGCTCCAACAAAGGGCTCAAACATACCAACGGCTGTGAGGATGGCGCAGGACTGGGCAGTGTTTCGTTCTGTTCTACACAGAGTCGCTAGGAGATGTAACAGACTCAGCAGTACCTAACAACAAATACATGAGGAAATGGAGGCACTGAGAGCTTAAATACTGTGCCCAAGGTCGCACAACACAAGTGGGAGAGCCAATATTTGAACCAGGGCAGTCTGACTCCAGAAACCAGACTCTTCCACCACTATTTCATGCCTTTATGAAATCCTAAGCATTTTGAAAGGCTGGAGATCGTAGGAAACAAAGACAGACGTTATCAATCATGGAAGTTTTGTCATTTATGAGAGAGGGATTTACATTCACTTTTTCCTTTTAATATTGTCTTTTCTTCAACTTTTTATTACTTAAAAAAAAAAAAAAAAAACAGTTGCCTTTGAGTTGATTCTAACTCATAGGGTTTCATAGGGTTTCCAAGGAGCATCTGGTGGATTCAAACTGCTGACCTTTCGGTCAGCAGCTGAGCTCTTAACCATTGTGCCACCAAGGCTCCTTTTATTACTTAGCTCTCATGTAAGTTTAAAAAACATAAAAATAATGAAAGCCCTCTTTATATTCTAAAATTGGTTATATGAATTGACTTGACTGAAATTAAAGTGTAAAAGGAAAGTTTAATGTTAAGCAGGAAGCAGTTAATGGTTGGTTTTGATGTTAATCTGAGCTGACCTACTTCACCTTCCTTTAAATAAGATTTTATGGTGTTCTTTTCCCTTGATAAGGTATGAAGCTAATTAAAATTAAAACTCATTACCCATTTTGGGCATATAAAAATGTATTATATACTTGCCTTAAGGGAACAATTACAAACCAGGATAGTTCTGAGCTGCTTCTTGATGGATATTTTAACATTTTGAGGGAGGATTTATATTTCTATGAAACTATATTACTTCCTCTATTCCTCTGAAATTGAAATCACAACAAGGTCACCATTTTCTTCTCTTTGGTAGTGAAAAGATAATCATTCATGTTCTATTCATCACTACGGAAAGTTTAAACCACTAACTTCTGAATTAGTGCTAATACTATGATAAATTGCTTTAAGAGTTCCTCATATGCTTCGGATGATCAGTATACTTTACTACCTAAAATTACATATTCTTTTTAACATATCTTCTGTGTCATATGAGGATTATTTTACATATTTTAAAGCTATTAAAATTAGATTAACCTCTTAATGATAAAGTTTTAACCAGTTATAAAAATAATTTTTAAGTCTGTCGAAAAACTCATTACTAGAAGTTACAATTCAGGGAATCAACTTTTGCTTGTTAAAGTAAATTAGAATGAGCTTACAGGATGTTTCTGAAAATAAGTGCATCCCATTTTGTTGTTTATTAATGAAGATGGTGATGGATGCCTTTTTTATATTTTCTTTTTAATTAATAATCTTTTCCATTTATAAAACAATGAATGTCAATTCTAAGAAAACATAGAAAAGCATAACAGAACTCAAAATGAGCAATAATCCCACCATGCAGACGTTAAGTGGGGAGGGAAGTTGGGCTCTCACCGTTCTTCCCTGTTTCCTTCCCTGAGGGACTGTGCTGGAAATTTAGACTCAGTTCAGTCCAAGAAGTCTACAGTCTCTGTTGCTGTCTACAACCTTTACAGACCTAGACAGTGGGGCTAACAAACTGACAAAACGCTGAGGAGACGCTCTTAGGAGCCGCTGCTCTACTCTTTAAAATGTATTTGTTGCTGCTCAGCGATTGCTTACTCTAGGGAAATGCTTTGAGAACATTCTCCCTTTTAAACAATAAACAAAAATCTATCATGCTTCTATTTCATGCATAAAACAGTGTTAAAGACTCCTCGTTATTAAATTATTAGAATCTAGGTGAAAGAAAAGCTATGCACATAAACATTAAATTGCACACATTTCTATAAATGCTAAAATATGTGAAAGTATGCAAGTGTTTTTGGATATTTAGTGGGAGAAATATTTGGACAGGTGTAACATTTCTCTCTTGATCAACACAGAAGGCTTCTTTAAGGGATACTGGCTGGCCCCCTGCTCATCGGAAATACCTCTTCTACAGCCCCACACTACTGCATTTTCATCAGAATCAAAATGAAAGCAGAGCAAAGACTCATTCTTTTCATTATCCAAAGTGCTAAAGTGGTGCCACTAGGTGATTCTTTCTTCCCTTTTCTTTTCTCACAGTATCTACTCTCACATGAAAGGCTGGGATTTGCCAGAGACCCTTTTGATTTAGCAAAGCTGTTTCAGCATTCATGCTAGCCAGAACTCACCCACAAGGAATTTTTATCTCTTTTAAAAGGCCTCCCTTGTTATCTGAAAGATTATTTGGTCTTGGTGAGATAGACTAATGGTTGTGAATATGTATCACAAATTTTTACCATGGAAATATGAGAGTTTGTTAACATTAAGTAGTACATTAACTGACAGAATGACACGGGGTTAAAGTTTTTGTATTTTGTCATTTTGAGTATATATATATATATATATATATACACACACACATACACATACATACACAGCAGTAATTTAGGATGAGGTTAGCACAGAGTACTTTAGGAGGAACCAAATTAAGTACTATCTCACTGAAGACCAACTTAAGACTTATCTATCTGACTTATCCAGGAAAACAAAAATACTTTAAAAAAAAAACAAAGTAAAATAATATAATCATAAGGTAATATTAAAGTCGAGGCATTAGCATCATCATCAATATCATCATCATTGTTGATCTCATCAATCTGGGGGACTATGTTTTTCATAGATTTAAAGGGGTATGATCTCTGTCCCATATGAACTTGAATTGGTACAGATAATAAAAAAAATGCTTCCTTAGATATTTGCACAGGTTGTGTTACAAAGAATCAGTGTAGAAGTAGGAAAAGCAGAAAAGTAGAGAATTAAAGAGAAAAAGAAAAGAAAAAAAATCATACACAAGGGTGAGGAAAAACTTATGGAAGAAAAATTAATAACTTCATTTAGTTTAACATAATTATTCCTTTTCTAAGGCTTTAAAATAGCACATAATCTTTTTCCTGAGGCTCTTAAGACTTAGAAGCACATGAGTGATTTTCATGGCCTTATAAGTTTCTAGGAGATTTTAATTCTCTAAGACATAACACAATCCCAACAGATATTCATTTTTATATGACATTGGGAGTGTGGCATGTGGGCTATTTCATGGAAGAAAGAATTAAACCCTCCAGCAACCTTTCCTGAAACTGTGTGTTTGATGGAATAGAAAAGCCAGAATAAGTACAGGAATAAAAATGTAAAAAGACTGCTCTTAAAACACATTTAAGGAAGATAAAATCTAATCATATAAAAGCTTCTGGAAGCATATATATCATGGTTTTAATAAAGCTTCTCTCTGAGAGGCGGGATTCTCGGTGTTCTTCCAAGAGATGTGGTTTAGTAGTAGTCAAAAGCATAGATTCTAAAACAAGTCTATTCTGGGTTCCATTATTATCCTTTGAAACCCTGGTTAACCACTAAGTCTCTGAGCTGAGTTATACAATTCGCAGGGGCATGCTTCTCATTGTATTCAATATGAGTGGCACTTGGTAGAATGGTGCAATGTGTCAGCCATGATATATCTACCACATAGGAATTTTATGAAGATTACATAAAATAATGAGCGTAAAGTAGTTGGCTTGATACTTAGTAATTATTCAATAAATGGTAGCATTGTTTACATTTGTCTAGTTAGTTTTCTTGTAGAACTTTAAAAAGAAATTTCTCCATAATGATCACACATTATTTTTGTAATATGAATTAAGAACAACAAAGACCTTCAAAAATATTGGGGTATGGGAGAGTTTAACTACCTTCTACACATATAGGGAAGGGTAGGGAGTCACTTCTACTAGCAAAAGCTAAAATTTTTCACATAATTATAGCTAACCATTCGTATATAGGAGCCCTGATGGTGTGGTGGTTAAAGCATTGGGCTGCTAACTGAAAGATCGGCAGTTCGAACCCGCTAGCCACTCTGACAGAGAAAGATGCAGCAGTCTGCTTCCATAAAGATTTACGGCCTTGGAAACCCTATGCAGCAGTTCTACTCTATCCTATAAGGTCGCTATGAGTCAGAATTGACTTGATGGCAGTGGGTTTGGGGTTTATCTCAGAGATAGATGCCTCATAACAAAGGCCTAGTGACCTACTTTCGAAAAATTAGCCATTGAAAACCTTATGGAGCACAGTTGTACTCTGACACATAGGGGGTCACTGTGAGTTGGCATCAATTCAACAGCAACTGGTTTGGTGTGGAGTTTATTTTGAAGGTGGAGAGCAGCACATTGTTTATCTGCATTCATACAATACTGAAACAGATGTATGTAAGTTAAATATTAACTAGAGAAATATTTATTCTAGCCATACTGACCCTTTAAATTTGAAAAGATATGACAGGTTAGAACACACTTGATTAAGGATACTACACATTCTTTGAAACTCTTCCCAATGACAGGTGAAGGCTAAATCCCCTACCTTGAACCTGGGCTGACTTTAGTTGTTTGCTTCACCAATAGAATGTGGCAAAAGTAACATTCTGGGACTTCCAAGGCTGGGCTACAAAAAGCCCTACAGCTTCTCCCCACCCTTTTGGAATACTCATTTTGGGGAAGGTGGCCGCCATGAAAGAACTCTGACTACCTGAGATCGACCAAACTGTGATGAAACCCAAGGTAACCACATGGACAGGCCATATGAAGAGAGAGAGGGAGATGTCCAGCGAATCCCAGCTATTTTGGCAATTAGCTCAGGCACCGGACAAGAGCAAAGAAGTCATCTTATGACACATTTTACCCCAAGCACACATGACATGGGAAAGAACTGAGGAATCCAGCTGACAACTGACAATAGACCTGAAGCCCCAGATATGTCCCCAGTTGAACATCCCAGCCACCTCCGGTCATTTACGCCAACACAGGTGAGGCCCAGTCATTGCAAAGAAGAAACAAGCCATCCTCACTGTACTCTGCTCGAATTCCTGACCACAAATCATGTTGTTTTATGCCTCTAAGTTCTAGGGAATTTTGTTACACAGAAATAGATAACCAGAACAGACCTACTATTTATAAATCAGATACCCTTCAGGTAGATTTATTACTAATCTATTTAGCTGCCTTTCTTTCCATTAAGAATACATTCTTAAGTCAATCATTTACCAAAATTAGGCTGAGTCTAAAGTCACAAAAGCTTCCTCATGAATGACTAAAGCAAACAAATATTAAAAGCAAACTAATATTAAAAGATCGATATATTAATTCTTTTTCAAAACGTCAAATCCTTGAGATATATTCTTACCAAAGCAAATTCGTGAGATATCCTTCCATCTGGAGGCAGTTTTGCACCAAAACCTAGAGCTGGAAACATTTTATCACTGTCATAATCTTGAACGATTTCTCCCACTGCCTTCAGTGCCATACCATAGGCATTCAGTTGGTAAGGATTCATATAGTGGAGAGAAGTGGGCTGTGCAGGATTGCCTGATGACAGAAAATATTTCAAACACAAGTGATAGGACTAAGAATATTTTTTTTGGTTTTTACATTTTTTCTTGATATCTATTTCAGAATGAAATATTTAAAATTACATTTTTCTGACTATATTCATAGCTTGACAAATACTTTCTTTTTGGGTAGATATTAACATATAATTATTTATTACATTATATCAGACATGTAGAAAGTTTTCTAAAGAAATGCCAAAACATATGCAGAACTTTTCAGAAATTTTTCCTCATTGTCAGTGCCATAGGCTATGCCTGAGTTTCAGTTCCAGAAAAAGCATAAAAGTACTTCTGTCAATCTTATTTTATTGTAATCTTTATTTTTTAAAAAAAATCATGTGCCCTTTAGCTTAAATACTTATGTCTATGGTCAGAGGACCTGACTGATTCAATAGGATTCAATAAATACAAGGCCTTCCTAAAGCTGTATCACAAAAACAAGTAGAATATTTTAGAAATATCCTAATTTATCACTTTAAGAAAGGAGACCATAGAGATTTTCAAACTCAAGCTGACTAAATATCTAGACCTGAAAATTATCAGATCTAATTAGACATTAAGCCAGGAGCCAGAAGGCTCAAAGTAGAGTTCTGCCATTTGTGAAAAAAATCTATAAAATAACTGTAATAAATCCTATTATCGTGTTTACTGGGAGGACAAAATGAGATTATGTGTGTGAAAGTGATTAAAAATAATAAAGCACCATAGAAATTTAAGGTTTGACTACTACTGTTAGCACTGTCTGGGTCACACACAAGATTCTGAATTTCCAATATGCTTATACCATGTAGGATGCTGCACTTGAATAGAGATGAATTTGAGAGAGAAATAATATACGTGCTACCACTCAAACACATTGAGATTCACACTGAGTTGCCCTAATTACCAGCACAAAGGCAGCCCGAAAGTCCATTTAATTTCTTAAATGAAAATGGTAAATTAAATGAGACTTGTAATAGCACATAAAGCTCAACTCTACATTAAAACATTGCTTGAAGAAGGAACGCCTCCGGGCATAGTTCTTTTCTAATAAGGAAAATAATAATAATAAGAAGAAGTACTTGAGATCCAGAGAGAACCAAAATAAAGGAGAGATCTCCCTTCAGTTAGTAATACATATATAATTAAACGCAGAACATTTTTGGCCTAAAAATAATTCATTGCTCAAGTGCATTTATATTTCCAAAGGGTTACAAGCATTCCAGGGCTGATTTCACATGATAAAATTTTTAAAATGTGTCTTCCTTCTAAAGTAGGGACTTTGTCACTTGGACAAAAGTCCACTGGAGTCACAGATAAGCAGTATCATTACTGGACTAAATGGTTACTTAACGCAACTCTCAAATATAAGAAGAGTTGTTACTCAATGATACTGACATAGCAACTAATTCTATTTCAGTAAGTAAACCATAACGTAAAATTAAAACAAAAACAACCCCTTTCCCCCCAAAAATTTGCATCCTAATGTATCTAAAAACTTTAGTCTATCATGCATAGCAGGGCTAGATTCAACCAATAAAAAGATGTTGCCTATCTCTTTCCAGCATCTTCATCTACACCAGTGTCTTTATTGTACCAATAATGACACCTTCCCTCTCATCTCTACCTTTCAAGTCACTCCCTTGTCCTGAAATTCATTTTCTTCTTCTCTTATGTTATGTACCAGACATTCTTCCTTTTTTATTCCAGCCTCTTTATTCTCTCCTACTGTTATATGTTCTGCACCATAAAATTTGACAATTAAAAAAACTGCCAAAATTGATTGTCAGCTCCTTGACTTCTGGGACCATTCTGTACTTTCTTTGTAGTTCTGCAACAATGCCTATGGAGAATGAACTTGTAGTAGATTGATAACATTGGGCCCAACTAATAACAATACTATTTATAATAATAGCATGGAATCTAATATGTATCGAACACCTTACTGCATATTTCATTTAATCCTCTCAACAAACCTAGTACATGGGTACTTTTATTATACCCATTTTTCAAATTAGGAAGTTGAGGCTTAGACAGTTTTAAAAACCTGCCCTAAACCACACATTAATAATTAGTAAAACTAGAATATGAATCTAGGCAGTCAGAACACCATTCTTCCCCAACCCATCTGGCATGAGGCAAAAAAGTTGTCTTCTAGAAAGTTGTTACATTTTTATGCCTCATTGTGGTCTCACAAAATATAAAGTCCCAATTTAATTATTCAAATGTGACTTGATAACTCATCCTGTGGTAGTCCATAATTTTTGTGTAAATATTTCTGATATAGTAAGTGGTAAATACAAATATACTCAGACAAATTAAACATTAGAACAACAGCTGTGTTTCATGAGTTACACTGGGAAAGCAACTTGAAAAAGTTACAATCAGACTCATCTGATTTTGTGTTAGAGATGACTTTGTAAGAAAATCTCACTTCAATAGATTATTTTAACTGCTTTGTTGAGATGATTTATATACCATATAATTCATCCATTTAAAATGTCGACAACTCAATGGTTTTCAGTATAGTCACACATGTGTGCAATTACTACAATGAATTTTAGAACATTTTCATCATCTCAAAAAGAAACTCCATACCCATAGCTATTGCTCTTATCCTCATCTACCCCAGCCCTAAGCAACCACTGATCTACTTTCTGTCTCTAGAGATTTGACTATGCTGAACATTTCATATAAATACGAAAACCAAACCCACTGTTGTCGAGTTGATTCCGACTCATGGTGACCCTATAGGACAGGGTAGAACTGCCCCCTAGGGTTTCCAAGGGTGTAATCTATATGGAAACAGACCGCCACATCTTTATCCCACAGAGTGGTTTGTGGGTTCAAACCACCAACCTTTCGGTTAGCAGCCAAGTGCTTAACCACTGTGCTACCAGGGCTTTTCATATAAATAGACTCATATTAATATGTGGTGTTTTGTGACTAGCTACTTTGACTTAGTATAATAATCTCAAAGTTCAACATGTTCAGGCATGTATCAATATCTCACTCCTTTTTATGGCCAAATAGTACTCCATTGTATGAATATACTACAGTCTGTTTACCAACCTATCAGTTAATGGACATTTGGGTTGTTTGGCTATTATGAATAATTCTACCATACACCTTAATGTAAAAGTTTTTGTGTGGACGTATGTTTTCGTTTTTCTTGGATATAATATACTTAGGAGTGGAATTGCTGGATCCTATGGTAACTCTATTTTTAACAATCTGAGGAACGCCAAATTGTTTTCCAAAGTGGCTTCAAGATTTTACACTCCTACCAGAAATGTATGAGGGTTTGGATTTCTCCATATCCTTGCAACAGTTATTATTATTGGACTTTTTGATTATAGCCATCCTGTGGGTTTTCTACATACAAGATCATGTCATCTGCAAATAGAGAAGATTTTATTTTCTCTTTTCCAATCTGGATGCATTTTCTTTCTTTTTCTTGCCTACTTGCTCTGGCTAGATCCTCTGAAACAATGTTGATTGTAAGTGTCAAGAGCAGACATCTTTGTCTTGTTCCTGATCTTAGAAGGAAAGCATCCAGCCTTTCACCATTAATTAGGATGTCAGCTGAGGATTTTTCATAGATTCCCTTTATAGGTTAGGAAGTTCCCTTCTATTCTTAGCCTGTTGAATGTTTTCACCATGAATGGTTGTTGGTTTTTGCAAATGCTTTTCCTGCATCTCTTGAGAAGAGCATGTGGTTTTTTGTTTTTTATTCCATTGATATGGTATACTTACATGAAATTTTTGAATATTAAACCAACCTCGCATTCCTGGGATAAATCTAACCTGATGATGCTCTATGTTTTTGTTGTTAGTTGCTGTAGAGTTGGCTCTGACTTGCTCATGGTGTATAATTCTTTTTATATGTTGTTGGATTCAGCTTGCTAGTATTTTGTTGAGAATTTTTGTGCTCATATTCATAAGAGATATTAGTCTGTAGTTTTCTTGTGATGTCTTTGTCTAATTTTGGTATCAAGGTATTACTGGCCTCATAGAACGAATTTGGAAGTGTTCCCTCCTCTTCCACTTTTTGAAAGACTTTGTAAAGGACTGATATTACTTCTTCTTTAAATATTTGGCAGCATACACCAGTGACGACATCTGGGCCTGGAATTTATATTGTGAGTAGATTTTTTATTACTAATTCAATCTCTTTACTTGTTATAGGTATACTTCTTCCTTAGTCGGTAATTTGTGTCTTTTTTTTTTTTTTCCTCCTAGTTGTTGTGCTAATGTTTACAGTGAATGAAAACTATTATTTTAAACTTGTTGGACTTTAGGTATTATTCCCATGTTCCATATTTTACTGAATAAAATCCATGAGCAAAAATCATTAACTCAAAGCCACAATGTTGGAGAATAAACACAACATGTTGTAGTAAAGAAAGTAAGCTGAATTAAAGTTTGATCTCCTTGTATCTAGTTCTTATTCTAGAAATAACAGCTAAGATATACTTAGTAGTGAAAATATTTTCTAGATCTGAGTTTTCTCATATGTATAAGAGGAGGGTTGGATTAAGTGATCTCTAAGGTGCTTTCTTACCTAAAAAATATCTATTATTTTGTGAAATGTAAGTTATTGTGAGAGAAACGTGAGGCAAAGACAATATATGTGAGACTCATAGGACAAGAAAGAATTAAAAAAACAAAAAACTGGTGGCAACTTCTGGTAAAAGTTAAATAATGACAGTCATATTCTTATGATATACATAATAACTAAATTCAAATAGTTATTCTGTTTGGAACAAAGTTACATCAATATAAAATAAAAATTCCACTCTTAATGTCTGAAATATAAATTATGAATATCTATACATGTAGTTTATGGTACTGATGACAGTCCATATGAATGAATTAGATAGAAATGTTTTAAAATGGTTAATTCTTAAAAACAAATAATGGAGTAAAAATGAAGCAAGTTGCATTAGGAACATATACTATTGAATTATATTTATATAAATTAATATACACAAAAATATTATAAAAATGAACATTATAAATAGACACATTTTACAATTGTAGTTATGTACGGAGAAGAAAGGGGGACAGTGGACTGGGGGAAGGGCAAACAATGGGCTTAACTGTATCTGAAATTTTTATTCATTCAGAAGCAAAAATGACTATATTTCAACATTTAATAAACTGAGGGGGACTGTTACATATTTTTGTTATAGTTCTTGTTGTCTTTTGTATATATGAACTATTTCATAGTATTAAAAAGGGAAAAATTATCTGAATTTTATATAAAAAATCAGAAGTATATAAATGTAGAAATATAATATCTAAACCTCACAAAAAATATTTTTAATACTTAATTGCTGGTAATTTTCTCCAGAGGATAGTCATAATACTCACCGTTTGATGCTGTAAAATCAATAGCCACTGTGAAATTGATTTGTGTTCTAGAATATAAGTAAACAAGAATCATTAATAATTAAATAACCTCACAAAAGGAGTTTCTTTCCATTTGCATTATCATATTTTTAACGTCACTAATTTTCTTAAATGTTTATTACTAGCAAATATATTACAGCATACACTGAATAGCATCAGGTAGACAGTTTTACAAGGTAAGAACTTGGCAAGATATTTCAGTCATACAACTGTAATATGAAAAAATAAAGTCTCAGGAATAAAAATAACCTGTATTTGGGAGCACAATAATTAAGGGAGTGGCTCATAATGAAGAAGTCAAACTGGAAATAATTATTTGCCAGCCTCAAATGCCAGTATTTATTATTGTCTTTTCAAAACCATTCTGCAGTTTTCATGAATTATGCCCTTAAAAGCATGGCATAATTAAAATAATCTTAATAAAGTCATTTCTTAAGCAAATTCTTTCGAACAAGTCTGAAAACACATGTTTTCTTCTGCTTTCTTCAGAGATGAAGTATTTAAAGTACCAGTCTATCGTCAGTGCTCGCGGCATTCGTGTGTGTGTGTGTGTGTGTGAGAGAGAGAGAGAGAGAGAGAGAGAGAGAGAGAGAGAGAGAGAGAGAAAGAGTGTGCATGTGTTTATGAAATTGGTTACATATATTTTTAATTTTCAGCATATGATAATTATTCCAAATTATTTTACTGTATTAATTTTTTGTTTTCTTTTCATTTTCTTCTGATGAAAATAAACAGGTAATATTCACATAAGAAATTTATTCTTATGCATATACTGATAACTCTTTCTATATGTAATTCCACCTCTTTCTCACCAAAGAAGACATAAGAATACAAATAAGTGAATGATATGACTACTGGGATAAATTAGATTCACATCTGATTAAAAAACAAATTTTAATCTGATTTAACCCTTTTAAGACCCTTGGGACACTGGTATCCCATCCACTTTTTATGCCTTTGGAGTTCTTTGGAAATGGGGTAGCCTGATTTCAATGCATTTAGCTTCAAGGTGGGAACCCTTTGAAATGGATGAAACTCAAAAATCCTGAGTGGGAGCCTCATTTTTGTGTAGATTGAACATTGTCTTAGGTGATGCCCCCTGGATGTGTGAAATTTCTAAACTTTTGATAGGTTTGCCTTTACTGCTGTGAGATAAGCCTCTTCACTCTTTCCCAGTTACTATGTTCTTCTGAGAATGTACTTATCAAGAGAATAATTGATTGCCAGTCTTCATTCAGTTATAGTAGCTGTTTTCTCCTTTATGCCATTCATTGTTTTCAGGTGTTATTGGCTCCCTTCTTTTCAGTTTCTGAACAGTAAATAATGTCTTTCCAATAAGGAATAATGCATTGCAGTGGTACTTTTCAAGAAATTGGAACTCCTGTAAGTTATTCTTACCCTGCATTCAATCTGCATTCAATTTTAGGGCCCAGTCATTGCTTCCACGTGTAGGAGGTGGAATGCACTGCTGTGAGCAATTCTGCAGTATTCCAAGGCAGCTGTTTCTGCTTCTTAGCTGTTAGTACTGAGTTTTCTATGAAGAATACCTAGTAGTGGTAATTTTCCTGAGATTCAAATTCCTTCAGTTTTATTTGTTTTGCCTCTAAGTACTGCTTTTGCAGTAATGAAGAATGCACTGTAGTGGCAATTTTTCTGAGATAAAAACATCCCTTGGCTTTACTTATTTAGGCTGTAAGTACTGCTTTTGCAGTAAGGAAGAATGCATTGTACCATGTTTTGAAAAGCTTCATGAAAAATAACTTAAAAAAGTCTAAGAAGAAGACTAGAATAAAATGTATGCATATTTATTGCCAGGTGCCTTCAGGTTTTACATCATGTTTTGCAAATTTTCAAGAAAAAAAAATAACAATTTTATCATCGACTCATATCAGCAGGATTTATGTCATCCAGAGGCCACTGGGACATATGGGATTCCAGATAATGGGTATCAAAATCCATAACTCATAAAAAAAATTCTGAATTGGTCCTTTAATCAGCATGCCTTCACTGGTGAAAACACACAGTATCAACAAAAAATTCAAAGGAGAAAATAATTGGGTCTTGAAAGGGCTAACACTTCAAAGTTGGGGACTGTTGGATAAATGATGATGATGAAGATGATGATACAATGATGGGATTTAAACAAAACAACCTGACTCTGGGGGCCAGGAAATTAACCTTCTAATGAACGACTTTGACCACAGCATAGGATCCCCTAGAGTTCTCTTAGTGAAAACTATAATAATATTTCCTTCTTTCTCTGAAAATTAAGCCTGAAAAGCCCTAACTACTATTAAGGGATTGAAACACAAATTTGCACATTGTTTTTGAAGGGATGAACAACCTTTTGTGCTTTACATTTAACAAAAACTAATATAGATTCCATTTATAGCTATATGGTAATTTTTTTCTCAGAGTAGAAATTAGGTTTATAGGCTAAAAATATAGGCTATTCAGAGTATAACACTAAACACGATGAACCAAAATAAGAAAAACTTTTAGAGAAAGAATATAGTGAGACACTTGAAGAGCATTTTCAGATAATAAATCCCTCTGAAGGACTGAAAAGAATAGTGACTGTCAGCACATTGCTTTGTAATTCTGCTTCTGGGGAAAGAAGTGACTGTAGTACAAGGTAGTACCATGTAGTGGATAGGGCATGGGCTTTAGAGTCTGAAAGAACTGGGTTTGAATCCTAGCAACCCAGGTTTTGACCTTAGTAAAGTTTCAAAACTTTCGGAGGGCAGACACCTGGCACATAGCATGCCCTAAATAGAAGACAAAAAGTAAAACCACATGAATATTATTATTAGTTGCTATTTATTTAGATTTATTTAGGACATATATATACACACACACGTATATTGGAGCACTGGTGACACAGTGGTTAAGCATTCAGCTGCTAACCAAAAGGCTGACAGTTTGAATCGACCAGTCGCTCCTTGGAAAACCTATGGGGTAATTCTACTCTGTCCTATGTGGTCGCTACGAGTTGGAATCGACTTGACACCAATGGGTTTTGGGGGTTTATATACATATATATATACTGAATATACCACAAACTGCCAGAAGCATGAACAAATCTGTCTTGGAAGAAGTATAACCAGAATGCTCCATAGAAGCAAGAATGGTGAAACTTTGTCTCACATACTTTGGACACGTTATCAGAAGGGACCAGTCCCTGGAGAAGAACATCATGCTTGCTAAAGTAGAGAGTCAGCCAAAGAGAGGAAGACCCTCAAAGAGATGGACTGACACAGTAGCTGCAACAATGGGCTCAAACATAGCAACAACTGTAAAGATGGCCAGGATGGGGCAGTGTTTTGTTCTGTTGTACATAGGGTCGCTATGAGTCAGAAACAACAAGATGGCACCTAACAACAACAATAACAGCACAACGCTTTGCACATATTGGAACCTCACCATATTTACCCGGTGATTAAATGTGTGCAACTTATAGTTGTTTATTACATGTTCTCCAGAGCAGCCCAGGATGTTTGTAGCATAACCATCAACTTCTTACAAGCATTAAAAAAAAAACCCAATCGCTGTCGAGGCAATTCTGACTCGTAGGGACCCTATAGTGCAGAGTAGAACTGCCCCATAGAGTTTCCAAGGAGAACCTGGTGGATTTGAACTGCTGACCTTTTAGTTAGCAGCCCTAGCACTTAACCACTATGCCACCAGGATTTCCTTACAAGCATTAGGTGCAGATAAAAGACTTCAATAATCAGAGATATAAAGGTCCTTTCAAAACCAAAGGTGTGCCCAGCAAAGCTACAAAGAAAAGCTATGATGGCCAGTAACTAAAGAACTCTACTGTACATAATAACAGAAAAAGAGAGAGCAGATGTTTAGACTTAAACTAAATGAAACCTCTAAATAGCTAAGCTAAACTATGTTACAAAACCAAGTAAATCAGGTACAAAATAATCAATGAATTGTAAAATAAAGAAAAATTAAAAAGAAAGAGAAAAGGAAAAAGAAATGAAAGAAGAAGAAGTAGAGGAAGAGGAGGAGGAAGAGGAGAAGAAGAAACAGAACGCAGCACCAAGGAGTGCCCTCGAAGCCTAGGATACTCCAAGACTAAGTATAAAAGATTGAGGTATTTAGCACTAAACGATAAATAAGACTGGTATCTGCAACAGAGACATTCAATAAGTAAATAAGAATTCTTGAGGCACATTTGGTGGCTGATTGATTATGAAATTTGGTGAATTCTTTGCCTCATTCTGCATGTGAGAAAGAATACTTCTCCCTCATTGTTTTGGATCCGAAGTATTAAAATCAGAAGGAAAATATGATGGTTCACTGCATAAAGCATTTCATGGTTGTGATAATTCCTTAGTCTACTATGAGACTATTTGGATTTTTCCATTAATAAATTACAATTCAACAATTACATATTGAACATCTGCCAATTGTCAAACATTGTGCTGTGATGAAGCAAAACAGACTATCCTTGAACTCATAGTGTTTACATTCCAGCTTTCTATTAAAAACAATGACAAAACAGCACCCTTTATCATTGAATTCATAACCATATAATAACCTCAAACTCAAATACACATTTACTGTGGATAATAGCTTGTTCATTCCCATAATCAATCTTGATTTCTATGATTATTTATTTATTATTTATATTATTATTTATTATTTCTTCTACACCAAGTGTCACATTCTATGTACTTAGATAGTGTCTTAGTCATCTAGTGCTGCTATAACAGAAATACTACAAGTGAATGGTCTTAAAAAAGAGAAGTTTATTTCCTCACAGTAAAGTAGGCTAAAAGTCCAAATTCAGGGCATCAGGCTCTAGAGGAAGGCTTTCTCTCTCTGTCGCCCTTCTCATCAGTCTTCCCCCAGACTAGGAGCTTCTCTAGACAGGGATGCCAGGTCCAAAGGATATGCTCTGCTCTGGCACTGCTTTCTTGGTGGTATGAGGTCCCCCACTCTCTCGCTTGCTTCCCTTTACTTTCATCACATGTAAGATAAAAGGTGGTTTGCA